TAATTTACTCGTGGGTTCAACGTTCATTTTATTGAACGCCATTTGCGAAATATGTGTACTGAGAAAGTATTATACAAGTTACATGAATTTTTCAAATAATTTTATAGATAAAATAAATTGCAATAAAGTCAACAACCAAGGAAGAGTGTGGTGGCCAAAGTAAAAGTAGCGTACCCCTTTTCTTTTGGACTAAGTGAGCTTAAGACGAAAAAAAGAAGGCATTCTAAGCTTAGACTTAAGTGTAGAAGTTCGTAGAGCAGAACAACAACCAATTTTTTTCCACCCGTTAAATAATGGACCATTGTTGCCAAATTTCTTAGATTCACAGTCAACAAGGCGTAAAGTAAGCTAAATGTCATTCACAAGGCTTTCTAGCTTAATTCCACTGGAAATCTATTCGAAACATTTTCATGCAAAAATGCTCTAGAACCCGTTACATGACGGCCCGTAATTAACATGTACGAACCGCAAAAAACTCGACAAAACTAAAAAAAAGAACGAACAATAACGAACACAAAATTGTTCGAATTTCATTTCTTCCTAATGTGAAAATCTTTCTCTCTCTTTGTTTTTAACAAGTGATCGTCTGACGTTCCCAAAAGTTGACGTGAGAAACAGCAAGAGTAGCGAAGATAAATCACTGATTTCTTCGTTCTTTCATTTCTTTGTGGGTATTCACAGGCGCCCTCGCCGTTTCTAAGTCGTTTTTACTTTATTCGAAAACGAAAGCAAAGCGTTTTTATTCGCGTATCACATGTATTGAATACATATGCGAGTAATCTAAACAATGAGATAAAAAAATCTAAACAACAGCCTAGTCTACGAAAGTTTCTCTTGAACTAGGAGCATCGGTCTTTCCCGTCGCTCAAAGCGATGGGAAAGGATTTCGTTAGATAGAAGGCCCAGAATTAAAGAAGATTTCAGCCACAGAAATTCGTTTTACCCATTTAATAGAGGATCAACAGTTATTTTCAATCTCGCTTAGGTTCCTTATAGTATTTTTTTTTAAGTGCGTTCCGAGCATCTGTGACCAGCGCTGCGCGATTTTTGACAATGGCGATCGTCGGCATCGTCGGTAAGTGTCGGCAAGGCGTCGACTGTTTATTTTTTGGGCGTTGTTGCGTTGAAGACAACTCGTAGAGAAGAAAGAACAAATCTTTCTTTGGGATATGAGATTAAGGGGCGTTCTTGATTTGTCTTTTCGTGCGTTACGCGAACTTCATAAATTCAAATGTCAACTTCACTAGAGTTTTTTTCTGTTGGATCTATATAAATCTCTCTCGACGCTTTTTCTGGAAAAGAGTACATTTCTTGACTGTGGGTGGGAAGGTCCCCTTTTGTCAAAACAGAAGGCATGTCTGTCGGCTTGCCTAGAAATATCATTCTCTTTGGTGTTCGCATTATACCATGATACACCAGAGGATTCAAAACATAGTTGTAATATCCAACAGTTGATGTTATCACCACTGCGTTGATTGCCATGTCCCAATGAACACCTGAAGCTAATAAACCAGTGCAAATAAACTGTGGCACCCAACATGCGACGCATACACCACTGATCTTATAAGTCAGCCATGTCAGTTTGTTTTCTTGGCGTCTGTGAAGACTCGCTGCATCAGGCAAAGTGGACGAGCGAATCCTTTTTATAACGCGAATAGCGGTTACAATAACGATAATTAAGGTAATCACATTTAAAACTACGCCCAAGATATGATAGATGAAAATAGGGTTGCGTTTCAGGTCTGACATTTTGGCAAAAAAGGTTACAGGGTTAACTGACTGGTCAAACAAAACAACGAAAATTAAAACTGAAGTTACAAGTAGAGCTCCTATCCATTTTCCAGCTATGAAAAACTTCACATTGCTTGGCGTTATGCGTCGGTTAAACGGACGCAAAACACAATCTTGTCGATCAATTGCCATAAGCGATAAGGTCACAAAATTCACAACTGCGCAAAGAAAGCTACTTGGTCCCGTGATATTTAAGGCGCGTTCAGCATAATCAATTCTGCCTAGTCCGACTGAGGCGAACATTGCTAAGCGAGAGGGTAGAGTGAACAAAGATGAAATGATTCCATTAACTGCCAAACTAGCGAATAAATAGTGAGGAACCTTTCGTAGGTCTTGACGCTGAACGAAAAAATAACAAACTTTAGCGTTTCCTCCAAATCCTATCACAATGGCGATTGCCGTCAGCGCCTGGTCTGCGATGAATGTAATTGCAGCAACTGTCGATGGGCTACGACCGTTGAAACTTGATTGATTCATTTTTACCTCAGCTCACTTTTCAGTTATTTTTGCCGCCTTTTTATGGTTGATTGTATGGTCCAGTGCTTGACTTCTCGATTGCGTTTTTGGGTATTTGCCACATTAATAAGTTGATTGCAGTTTCACAACGAACGCCTTATGGTCGGTGTTTTTGTTTTAATAACTGATAATCCTTAGGATTTATCCTTTTCATAATTGTTTTAAACCTCATTGAACGGCTTAAAATGTGGATAAAGTTAAGTGTGCATCAAAATATGGCCGACACATTAGATTGATACATTGGTAAGCTAGTTTAAATTTGAACATTTTTTTTCTGAAGAAAACTATACTTTCGCCATTATGACCAATCATTAGTCATTTTTTTCTTGCGAACAGCGGATCACGGAGGAGATTTAAAAATAACTTTAAATGGATTACAATGGGCGTAGGGCCTTAGGAGATTAACTCTCTAGTCTCTTTATTTTCTCTTGATTAAGTTGAAACTAAAAATTTCTTCTCCAGTAGTCGCTTCTTCAAGGTTAGCCGCGAATTCAACTATTTGGAGGACCGGTCGACCGGAAATAGGTCTGCTGTTCGCACATCGACCGACGTAGAACATCGACCGACGTAGAACTACATAACGTGTTTGCTCCGCCTTTAAGCCGCAATATCCACACGCAGATTCTCCACACTGATCTCTAAACATTTTTTAAAGAACACGTTTAGAGAATCTGATAAAAGATCAACGCATTTCCATTTGATGATCATTTTATTAATTCTCATAAACTTTCCTTTGGATGATGATGTATGGATATTGTTACGAGAAAATTGATATTGGTCACTCTGGATAGATAATCTTTATTTTATCTTTATTTATTCACGGTACAAAATTCGTCAGCTTTAAAAATGCCTAATACTAATATAATAAAAATATTTAAATAAAAAAAGCTGCTTTCCACGAATGCCGTGCCTTACAGTTCTTTGAGTAATCGTTTAAATTGCCCAAGGGACTCTGCTTCTCTTAAGTTACAAGGAAGACTGTTCCAGAGAATGGCGCCACTATAGCTGAAGCTGTTTTTGTAATAGTTTGTGCGCGGTAATGGAACATTGAGTTTATTTTCAGAGTCCCTTAGGTTATATGCGACTTCTCGCCTTTCAAATTTAGAACTAAGATAGTTTGGAGCCAACCCGTGCAGAGACCTGTAAACCATCGTAGCTCTTTGAAATTGTTGCTGGCAAGCTAGGTTTTTCCACCCTAGAAGTTTGAAAAGGTGACCAGCATCTACGTCATAGCTTGAGTAGGTCAAAACACGGGCTGCTCTGTTTTGTAGCTTTTGAACCTTATTCCGTAAGGTTATCCCACAGTTTCCCCAAACAATGTTGCAATAATCAAAGTGTGGCTGTATTAAAGCTTGATATATTAGTTGTAAGGTCGCCTGAGGGACAAGGTGCCTTATTCGTTTTATGGCCCCAATACCAGAAGCGACTTTCTTTGTTACTTTCTCGATATGGCCACTCCAATCAAGTCTGTCATCGATGGTCACTCCAAGTGATTTTGCAGTAGTGACCTGGCTAACTTCAAAATCATTAATTGCAGACTTTTAAAGGGTTAAAATCTCCATTCATTTTGATATTCGCCACGGATGTAGCCTCCCACGCAGACGTTCTTAGGGCAACGATCGCATAGCCTCTAAAAGTCCTTTAATATTTTTTCCTAGTTGGTTATGCCTTGTCGAAAATTCAACCGCTGACGTCATGACAATTGACCAATAGGGCAGTGACTGATATTTCACGTCGCTCCCGACACAACATATATCAATCACTTTTTTTCCCCGAGTGAATTTATAATATGATTCAAATTCATTCAGGCGAAAAAAGTCGACCTCGAGACTTCGTCGCTCGCTCGGTCGTTGTGCGACCTCATGCATTGAAGCTCGCTTCGCTCACTTTTAAGAACTTATGAGAGGTCGACTTGTAGAAAGTCTAAGCCTCAGACATAAGTTGTTCCAAATTGTTTTTCAAAGTTGCCCGAAGTTGGTCCCCTCAGGGTTTACTCTAGAGCGCGGCCTTACGGGATCATGGTTCCGCAATTTGGAAAAAAATGCCGCATAAACTTTACGTTGCTGCTTTAAATGGGGTGCAAAAAAATAGACCCAAGGATAAGTACTATTTTCTTAATAAAGTATTCGAAAACATCACTGACAACAAAACTGATTTGACAGCCGAGATCAACTTAGGTTTCTGTCCACCCACCCCGGGATTCTGAAGTAATTCGAGCCCAGGCTTTTTCCTCTTTGGTTTTCATTACGCAAGGGCATTCTCCTGTCCTGATAGGGTCGTTTTCATTCGCGGCAGAGAAGACAGAGTTGGAAATTTATTTCCCTGAACTACATGTTTCGATGTTTGCCGCCATTTTGAAAACGTGGTCATATTTGCGAACCATTGACTTCAAACAGCGGCATGGGCTCCTGACTGCGGGTAGTCCATCTGAAGGGGGAGGGGGCGGGGGTCGGGGCACGGGGTAAACTTCACTTGTCGTTAACTGTTATTTATTATTATTGTTATTTATTTATTTATTATTTATCAAGGATGTTTTACAAGGCTGAAAGAGTATCTAAGGACTTTGTACCGTAATTCCCATAAGTTGCTAGTCGCCCCCCCCAAAGTCAGAAGTTGCTACAAATGGCAAAAGTTGCCAGAACGTTGCTCCAAAAAGCACAAGTTGCCAAAAAGTTGCCTAGCAACTTGTAGCTGAGGAAGCCCTTAGAACGACTGTGCGGGACGCCACTACGTATGTTGTATACAAGCTGCATTTAAATAGAAAAATAAAATGCTGTTATAATTCATCATATGAAATACATTTTCATGACACACTATATGGAAAGACTGGATTAACATTGGACTTATATTACAGAAATTAATATTGTTCAATTTGACAATTGCATTTGACCTACTCTGGAAATTATTATTCCTTTTCTGTTCATAGTATAGACTTTTCAATGTTATGAGAGTTTTGTATCTAGAGCCTTGGTCCAGGCCAGTTATTTAAGAGCCGCCACACATTCAGTAGTTCAGTTCTCAGGGAAGAACGGCTTTTAGCCTCTCCTCAAAAATCAGCGTCTCTAACTACCATTTGACCTGGAGCACACCAACACACGTTGAATGTCGACAGCTTCTGGGTAAATAAATAACCCTTTCATTACGAGGAGACAGTCAAAACGTTAAGTCCGTTTTCCTCTTTTTTCCTTGAAACAAATCATTTGAGTTGAGAAGCTTGATGATGCAACAGACTCAAGCGATCGTATAACACATTACCCCTCCCTCTGTTTGCCATCAATAAAGATGTCATCAACTGTCACATGACCAGTAGCTCGATCATAATCTCGGTCACAGTAAAACTCGGCCCAAACCGGACAGTGATCGGAAACGAGGCCATTCCAGCGCCAGCCATCAGGTATAGAAGGGTGTGTAAGGCCGTCTCTGATTACCCCTATTGGCAGATAACACACATTACATAAACATTTGTAGAAGGATATACAGCAAATCTCTCTATTACCAAAAGGTCAGGCAAATGGCTGACCACCCTCAAACGAGTTGCAAACGCTAAGGCGTTGCTAATTCACCGGGCGACCTTGCAGCTCCTGAAGACCTCACGGGATTGGACGGAAAAACAATGAGCTGCTACTCACAGGAGTCCAATTTAATTAGAGGTTCTGAAGAGCTGATAGGCTACTGAATTCACCTACCATTTTGAAAGTTTATAGTTAACTTAAATGTGTTAGAAACTGAAACTAAACTTGAAGAGACATAATTTTGTTTGTGCGCGAGGCGTTGGCAACATAAAAAAGGTTATTTTTTTTTGTGAAAAACGAAAGATACTGATAGTGACATTAACTAGCTGTTTACTACATCACTGTACATTCTTTCCACCCACTAGGAAATGAAATTCCGGTAACTAAATAAGAAGCTGTCTCGACATGGCAGCGGTGGAGGCAAATGGTGGATTTCGTACAGTTTGTTTCTAGTCACCAAAAGGCATAGTCACACACAGCCACGCGCGAAGGCAAAAGGCGTATTTGCCACACGTCGTTCCCTGGGCGCCAAAAAGCATAGTCACAAACAATCACACACGACCACGCACGCAAGCACAGGGTGTATTTGCCACAAGTCGTTCCCTGGGAGCCAAAAGTCATAGTCACACACAGCCACGCAGGCAGGCAAAGGGTGGATTTTCCACAATTCGTTCCCAAGGCGCCACAAGGGAAAATAACGCACAGTAACGCATAGTCAAGCACGCAGGTTGAACTGAAGTTCTGAAGATTCACACCGTCTTTCTCTCCAAAGGTTTGTAAGAAGTAGCCAGGATTATAACGCTAGGAAAAAACCCTGAGCCTCTCTCCGGGATACTTTTACAACTCTTGTAGCTTTCGATTAACCGTGGACGGGTAAGCTCAGTCGGTAGAGCGCTGGATTGCAGAATATTTGGCGCGGGTTCGATCCCCGAGGCCGGACCAACACTAGGGGTCTTAAAATAGCTACGTAAGAAAGTGATGTCTTCCCCTGAAAAGGCCGGGAGACCACGCGAAAATGGCGGTCTAGCCTTCTGTAGGAGACTTCAAACAGCATCGTCTAGTGGTAATTGCGTGCTAAATACATTGGCGCTTAAACTACGCAGATAACTGAGAACTAAATGTAGGACAGTTTTCAAAAAATGAGACGAATGCACGAGAGACGAACGGGTTCCTTTGCATCATACTTCAAGTAACGGTCAACGTGCATGGCATTGCAAACCCCGAATGGTAACGTCGCTGCTAGCAGTGAACACGATGTATAAAATTAATAACTCTTTTCCAGACAAAACACTACAAAGGAGTGTTTCGCTTAGCAGAAGCGGCTTTTATTCTGCTTTATAACCACGCCATAAATTCGATGGAATGTGTTGATTCGTACAACTAACAACAGGAGAGAAGACGCCCCTATAACTTAGTTTGCGAAAAAAAAAATAAGAGACTAGGCTTAAAGTTCACGGTACTTAACAGCAATGCTTAATCACCCTTACAACAGGTAAGGGACGTTACGCAATAAAACTGACAAGACTAAAATTCTAAAGCCGGTAAATCATCATGTTAACCCAATAACCGAATTGTTCCCATTTTCGGGATACATTTAAAATAGCTGCACAACAGGGCAAGCCTTAGTTCAGTTCTCCCTGTTCATACAGGAGGTCTTTCAATTTATCCGGTTAACGAGATCCCGGTTGTAGAGAGAAGGATCTGGGTAACTAGAGAAGCCTGTCGTTTGAAATGAACTTTTGACTTTTTTATCAGAGAAAATAGAGGACCTCGGAAATTCTGCGTCTATTTACAGCAAGGAAGGCAAAAGTATGACCTCCTTTAATTAACTCACATTCTTTCATGCAGGTATTAACCAATCAGAAGTCGAGGACAGTTTCAAGCTTGCTTCTGATTGGATTAAATCTGTACGAAAGAATGTGAATTAATCAAAAGCGGTCACACTTTTGGGCTCCTTGCTGTAATGTGGAGTTCCAAGTCTGAAAGAAACTGTGATACAGAAAGTAGTGTTACATGCTGTTGTTTACGGACCGCTGTGCAATGTACACTGTATATTCACATACCTGCCTGTCCAGTAAAGTGGTGTGACTTGGTGCTTTTGCCGATCCATATGTTGTCATAATTCTTCGATCCCTGCATGTTCTTTAAGCTGATGTTGGTGAATGTGGTACCAGGAATAAGGTTTTCCAATTTGCGCTTACGCATGACATCAAACTCTACAAAGAAGCAGTAAGACATTTAATATCAGTTAACTTTTTGTAAAGCTACTTGCATTACCCCTCTGTAATATTTGAAATTTATTCCATTCATTCAAATTATTTCTCCGCTTCTGATTGGCTAATATCCTACGGCTAACTCTATTATAAGCAGCTACCGTTGATCAAATTCACCAGACGTTTGCCTATTTTATAAGAGCAATAGACCTTTCCAGCTTGTATGTTTTGCTTTCCCAATTCAGACCACGTGATGTTCTCAAGGGAATTTGTGTTTTGTCTGTCATTAGTCATGCTTGCATGTGCACGTGGATGCACGTGCATAGGACAACATTTGAAAGAAACAATTCCCTAGGGAAACATCACATGGTCTGCAATGGGAAAAAAAAACCTACAGGCTAAAAAGGTCTATTAATCATGCTTACAAACTACCGGCAGAGAGGCCAATTGTACTGATCATCGACAGAAAAACTAGTTTTAACTAGTTTAAATTTCTATCCTCTGACGAAAAAGGGAAATTCGACAAGCAATAGAACTAGAGGGGTCCGCAAGAATTCTTTCTTCCGACTCTGTAACACAGGCTGAGTTTTCCAGGGTCTCGTCACGCGAGGATGAGCAAAAACTAACTGAGCGCCTGCCACCTGCCAGGATGCAAAACGAACCAATTAAAACAAATTCACAATTACATATCACTACGAAAAGGCCCACATAAGGGCAGTTTTTTTCTTCATGAAGGTCCTGTGCTTAAATAATTCTCCTGATTCCTACCTTCTTCATCAGGGCCAAGATTAAAATCTCCTAAAATGATCACGTCCTTCTCTCCTAAGAATCAGAAACAGATCAGCAAAAGCTCTTTATGTTGAACAAGAGATAGCTAGCCTGGTGTGAACTAAAACAGTTGGCATGCGAAGTACACGTACATGTGTACCTAATTTATGTAGTGAACTTGTGTAGAATCTTTCAGTAACTATAGAAATTTATTTCTCTGTTAAGAATTACAATAGCGCCTGGCGTAGTTGCTTCAAGTCTTAGTTCACTGAATTGTCTGAATCTGTTGCGATTGGTCAAATTGATTACATTTGGTTAGGTCATTCACTGGCAATTTTTCCCTTTTTTATCTTTCTTTTTCGCTACTGCAGCTCAAATTAAGCCTATACAGTCAACTCTCTCTAAGACAGACACCTTTGGGACCTGCACTGGCTGTCCGTCTTAGAGAGATGTCCGTCTTATAGAAAGTCAAATAGAGGGAGCTAAGAAAGGCAGGGACCAACTCTAGGTGTCCGTTTTACAGAGGTGTCCGTTAAGAGAGAGTCGACTGTATTTTTGGCACTACAGTCGACTCTCTCTTAACGGACACTTCTATGAGACGGACACCTCTGTAAAACGGACACCTAGAGTTTGTCCCTGCCTTTCTTAGCTCCCTCTATTTGACTTTCTATAAGACGGACATCTCTCTAAGACGGACAGCTAGTGCAGGTCCCAAAGGTGTCTGTCTTAGAGAGAGTTGACTGTAGTGCAAATAGCGCAAGTAGTGCGAGCTGTCACCAAACTGAGTGAAACATAAAATAAAGAAGGTATAAACAACACAGCAAATACAAAAGGAAGGACTTGAAGAAGACTGAAATGCAATTGCGGTTTTTGAAAACTTGTTAGCCTAACAGGTTTTTCAAAGTTCGTTTTTGTTGTTTGTTAATTTTGATCCAATGCTTTGGAGATGTATTTGTTTGACAGGAAGCTGTCATTTCGCCATTTCCAACTAATTTCTTAAGTTCCATAGCGAATACGGACGCGTAATTGGCATTAATAGGGACCTTACGATCCGACAACTGCGACGCTGATGAAAACGTCGCTGAAAAACAGACTTCACGTCTTTTGAAACTTTTTCGGCCTTATACCAAGTCACCCAGTCACTTGAAAGAAGGAAAGTTAGGTTGGAACTGAAGTGAGGGGACCGCGTCCGAGTTCAGA